TATAATTGCCCCCAGAGGAAGTTCCGAATCACTTCAAAGACTGATTTTATATATATGCTTCTTTGTTTGCTGAATTACTCTGTTGGGCTTGTTCTGGTCCATTCTCAGGATGAGCAATGTCTTCACTTGGCTGAATCATTACTTGGATACGCTAAAAAACATCAGGAGAGAAGGAGAAATACAGTAACATCATTATTCATTTACCTGAATGTTTTCAGTTTAAATTTCATTTATAAGACTTAGCTTTCTTCCTCAGGCAGATGGGTAGAGCAAGGGAAATACTTCATCAGCAACTTGCAGTAGAGAACCCTAGGGTTCCTTTGAGGGAAGGGAGCAGTAAAACCATAAGTGTTTCCTGACTAGCAGCTCATCCATTACTCAAGTCTTTACAATACAAAATTAAATATGATTGGAATAATTGTTGCATTTATATGCTAATATTTAGAGTGGTATTTAGAGATGAATTTAGGTCTTCTTTTTTTTTCATTTTCACATAGATTCATCTCCATATGAATTTGCAAAAACAAAAAGCCTATAAAAATCTGAACATATGCCTCTAGATGTTGCTACTCTATTGGTGACTGTTAAAATCAGCAGGGGGGCGCCAGGGTATGATCAATGTCTCTTTACATGAAGGAGATGGTGATGTGGCTTTTCTTGAGGAAGTGCATCCTGGACTCTAAATTTTTGGAAAACTGGCACCCTGTGCAAATGTAGTTTCCTTGGGCAAGGTGCTAGAAATGGTGTTAGCCAATCAGCTACAAGCATGCTTGGAAGAAGGCAGTTATCCAGATCTATTTCAGTCTGGCTGCACATATGCATGTAGCATGGAAATGGCCTTGATTGACCTGATTAATGATGTTAATGTGAGAGAGAAATGCAAAGTGCTATAATATTGAACTTCTTGGGACCTTGGATCATTTGCTGGAGCAATTCAGTGGGATGGGAATTTGAGGAACTGGATTATGGTGGCTCTATTCCTGCCTATAGAATTGCCTTCAGAAAGTGGCAGTGAGAAATCTCTTACAGCGTTCTATTCTTTCCCCCCTGCTGTTCACTATCTATATAAAGCCACTGGGGATGGTCATCTAGAGATCGGAAATAATCAGTTTGCAGAGGACATTCAAATCTACCTTTCCTATCCATTTGAATCAGGAAAGGCTGTATAAATGTTTGACAGTTGCCAAGGTTATGATGGACTAGATAAGTGATAAGGAATGTAAAGAGATAAGATTCTTATGAAGTGATGAAATGGTGCCATAATGAGCTGGAAGGTATCCCAAGGAATAAAGAAGGAAAGGAAGCGAGACTAAGTTAATAGAAGTTGTGGCAAACTGTTCAACTGCAGTCTATTTATAAGCATAACATGGGTATACAATTTTAGTTTAACAGACCAAAAAGTAACATGTAAATCAGTTTAAGCATGATCACTTTCAGAAGCCAGCTACTAAGGAAAGGAACTGGATGAGCACAGTCATTCTATATTGTAACATACTATGAGCTCAGGTATGACTTTTTTTTCAGTTTATTTTGAAAAAGGTCCTTGCCTGGAATGTGCTCAGGAAGGCCTAAAAAAACTATTGAAAATTTATATCCAACTATTATTATTTTATAGAAAATATGTATCCGACTACTATTATTCTATAGAAAATATGTATCCAACTACTATTATTTTACTCTTCAACAATGTTACATTGAGAGAAAATGCTGACCTAAATATATTGTAATGGGTATACTGTATTTTGATATTGTAGTTCAAAATGTAATAGAAGTTGGTGCTTGCTAAAGCCAGAATCTTGAGGCCCTGCATGAAAGACAGCTTACCTGTTTTAAGGAGCCTTTTAAAGTAAGGAACATGTATGCCATATAGCCTGGAATCAGCACCATAGAAGAGAGAGCCATAAACCAGCCAACACCTTGGCCCCATTTGGGGAACACATAATTGCCCATAGTGAGGGGAGTCATTTGCACAGCACTGAAGATAAATACACCCTGAAAAATGTTTCAAAAGATTAATTAGAATGCAAACTGTATTTAGAATTTAGAGAGATGCTGGTTCATATATCACTGTGTTATGTCTGAAATAATTAAGTGGTGAGAACTGGACACATTCACACCAATTATTCCCTTTATTCTAAACACTCAATCCATTGAAGGAATCATCAAGGGAAAGGAAAAAAGAAAAAGAAAAAAAGGAAGAATTTACCAATGTGATGGCAGAAAAAAAAAACATAATAGGAGGATGAAAATGAGACCCTAAATTCTTTGCTTCTAATACTGTACTTCTCCTAAACATAGCAACAAAAGAACTATTCACATTGTTCACCATACACCATGGAATTGCTGAGTTTCTGGGATCAAACCTCTGCAGTGCAGAATCAACACATTATGATTTTAGAATGGGAGCAGGAAGCCAGAGCACAGTGTCTCAGAAAATTGTGCTCAGATTGTACCATTTCCCAAACATTGTTTCTTTGTGTGAAACCTCAGAGGCCACCATCTTTTACCATCTGTTCATAAAATGATTCTTGTTCACAAGCAAACTACCATGCATTTTGCTACAGAAAGGAAGTAAGAAATCCATTAATGCTGCAGAAGCTGAAATTGTCTTTCAATTTTCAAACCTTTTTTCTTCTGGTTTTGACCTCATATGAGAGTATATGATGGGTTATTAAGAAAGAGGAGAAGGTCCACTGAGAAAAGAAGTTCCATCAGGAAAATGGAGCATTGAATTCAACCAAATATATGTTGTAAATATTAAAAGGAAATAATTAAACATTCTTTTATTATTATTTTGAAAATATTCTTTTCTATAAGCAGAAAAAAAACCCTCATGTATTTTACATTTACAGGTAGTCCTCGCTCAATGACCACTTGTTTAACGATGGTTCAAAGTTACAATGGCCTTGGAAAAAGTGCTTTTCGACCTGTACTCGCACTTATGACTATTGCAAACCATCACACTGCCCCCTGGAGTCATGTGATTGCAATTTGCAACTTTTTTGACAGTCATTAAGCAAATCATATGGTTGTTAAGTGACTTCCAGCAAAAAAGCATCCATAGGGAAGCTGGGTTCGCTTAACGACCGTGATTCGCTCAACAACTGTGGTGATTCACTTAACAACCATTGTAAAATGGTCATAAAAAAGGGTCCAGTCACATGGTGACTCACTTAATGACCACCCCAATTAGCAACCAATTTTCCAGTCCCTATTGTGGTTGTTAAGCAAGGACTATCTGTATATTTACATGGTCTTTTCTTTGCACCTGATATGATTAAAATATATTTTATGATATTTTCAGTAAAACTGTAGCTCTGTATTATTTTTAATGTTGTCAATAGCTTGCTTAAGTGGTACTTAAATTATTGTTCATTATACATAATAAAGCACAAGTATGCATGTGTGTTTGGTGAGAGAACAAATAGATGCATCAAAATAGCTATTTATTGCTTTTATTGTATGTTGTAGTGTACAGTATGTAGAAGATTAATATCTGTCATTTTGAAGTGCAAAAACATCTTAAATTTGTATGATCCAAGTGATTTTTAAATGATTGTTAAGAATGTTAATATACAATTGGTACCAGTGAGAGTTAACAATATTCTTCCCTGGCTTGTAGAGATTAGAATATTTTGTAAAAAGACATATTGCCAAATGAAATAGAAGAATGGAATGGAATGTGACCTGCACTCTGAAGATGCCGGTCACAGGTGCTGGCGAAACGTTAGGAAACAAAACTTCCAG